AAAATACATATATTTTGTCAAATCTTCAGATTCAGATCTGTTTTTTGCTTATTTTAATTGTACACCTATAGTCTCCATAAGTGTTGGGACCCCTATGGTTGGGACACACTGATGATTGTGCATTTACAATTTCTTCCTGCTGACATGACATCTGTAATAAGTGAAAAATGCAACAAAAATAAGAGAGCAAATACATTGAATGCGTCTACATTTCCTAAGGATTCAGACTATAAGACAGTATCCTTCATCTGTCCTCAGTCAATCGATAAAGCTCTTAGTGTGTGGTCTCTGGAGAGCCCCAAGGAGAGTGTGTGGTCCGAGCCAGACACATTATCATGAGGGTTACATGAGCACAATTGCAAACAGCACTCTGCAATCAGTTTCATGTGCTGCCTTTAGAAGTATTGGAGAGATAGTTGTCATTGGTCGCTATTACATTTGGCTGTGGCTCAGATCACAGTTTGGTCCTTGTTTCGTCCCCTGCAATGTCAAAATGTCATCGTATAAAAACCTTAATTGTTTGGTTATAGTATATTAAAATAAGTAATAGTGTAGTGTGTTGAAAATATAAAGAGTCATAGTTTATTTTGTCAAAAACTATGCAGAGTATAATATGTCAAAAATATCAGAAAAATCGACATAGAAAAATATTCAAAAAAACCTTCAATAGTATGTTGACATTTTCAGAAAAAACGAAATGGAATAACTCTGTCTTACTTATTCAAAAACTCAACATAGTAAAGTATGTCAAAAGTATAAGAAAAGCCGACATAGACAAAAATACACAAAATAGTATGCAGAGTGTAGTATGTCGTAAATATGCAAGAAAACATAAAATAGTAACGTATGTTAAAAATGTACACAAAGACGACATAGTATATAGTATGTGGAAAAATATGAAAAAAACGACTTGGTAAATTATCTTCACATTTTCAGAAAAAAATACAAAGTATAGTATGTCGAAAATGTACACAAAAATGACATAGTAAACTATGTCAGAAATTAGCATTAAAAAAACATTAAATAGTATAGTATGTTGAAAATATGGAAGAAAAAAAATACACGTAGTATAGTAGGCCTATGTGGTGAATATGCAAAAAGACGACATAGTATGTCAAAAATATCAGTAAAAATGACATGGTGATGTCCATATGTTGAAAAATGTGCTAATAAATGACATAGAATAAAATGTAAAAAATGTACAAAAGGATGACATAAATATGCCCCAAAACTACGTAGTATAGTGTGTCGACATTTTCAGAAAGAACAACAGAGTATGTTGTAAATAGCAAAAAATGACATTGTATTGTATATAGTAAGTTGAAAAATATGGGAAAAAACGACATAATATATGTCAATATTACAAAAGTACCAACCAAAGTGTCAAAAATAATGATGTTATGTGTTACGGTGAGTGAAGCAGGCAGGACCCAAATGCAGAAAAAACTGAAAATACCTTTATTTCAAGGATATGGCACACGGAAAATCAGAACACTCCCCGGTGAACACAGTCACAGACAAACGACGAACAAAACTAGGGCCACCAGGGTGGGTGGAGTGGGTCAGGAGGACGGGTTTGGGCTGACAACCCAGGAGCACAGCGGATCTCGGGCGGACGGCCCGGGGGCAAGGCAGAAGCCGAGAAGGGAGACTCGGGCGGACGGACCGGGGGCAAGGCAGAGTCCAAGGTGGGGGACTCGGGCGGACGGCCCGGGGGCAAGGCAGAGTCCATGGTGGGGCGAAGGCCACAGCGGGCAAACTCAGTGGGCCGAGCATGAGGGCGAAGACAGCGGCAGGAAGAGTCAGGGGGCCGGGCCCGAGGGCAAAGACCGCAGCACTCAGGGGGCCGGGCTCGAGGGCGAAGACCAGACAGCTCCGGAGGCCGGGCAGGAAGGCGCTGACGGGACAGCGCCGGAGGCCGGGCAGGACCCGGTGTTGGCCGGACAGGAACCGGAGCTGGTGGGACAGGCCTCGGCAGGATCCCCCACGGAAGAGGACACGGGATTGGCAGGACCCCCGGCAGGAGAGCAGTCGGCGGGACCCCCAACGGGACAGGACATAGGGTTGGCAGGACCCCCGGCAGGAGAGTAGTCGGCGGGACCTCCAACGGGACTGAACATGGAGCCGGCAGGACCCCCAGCAGAACCTCCATCGGCACAGGACATAGGGTTGGCAGGACCCCCGGCAGGAGAGTAGTCGGCGGGACCCCCAACGGGACAGGACATAGGGTTGGCAGGACCCCCGGCAGGAGAGTAGTCGGCGGGACCTCCAACGGGACAGGACATAGGGTTGGCAGGACCCCCGGCAGGAGAGTAGTCGGCGGGACCCCCAACGCGACAAGACATGGAGTTGGCAGGACCCCCAGCAGAACCTCCAACGGCACTTCAGTAGGGACTTGAATTGGGACTTGAGTAGGAACTTGAGTTGGGACTGGAGAGGGAACTCGAGAGGGGACTCGAGAGGGGGCTTGAGAGAGGACTTGAGAAGGGATTTGAGAGGGAACTCGAGAGGTGACTTGAGAGGGAACTCGAGAGATGACTTGAGAGGGGACTTGAGAGGAAACTAGAGAGGGAACTGGAGAGGGAACTTGAGAAGAAACTGGAGAGGGGACTCGAGAGGGAACTTGAGATGGGACTAGAGTTGGGATTTGAGAAGGGACTAGAGAAGTGACTAAAGGAGGGACTGGAGATGGGACTAGAGAAGGGACTAGAGGAGGGACTAGAGGAGGGACTAGAGGAGGGACTAGAGGAGGGACTAGAGAATGGACCATGGCTGCTGGGGCCGGAACCAGGGCCGGAACCATGGCTTCTGGGGCTGGGACCCTGGCTGCTGGGGCCGGTACCGGAGCCGGAACCATGGCTGCTGGGGCTAGGACCGGAGCCGGAACCATGGCTGCCGGTGCTGGAATCCTGGCCTTGCGTTTCCTTCCATGCTGCCTTGAAGCCTTGTGGAGGCTCAGAGGTCCTCCAAAAGCCAGACGAGACCCAGCGAAAGGGTCCTTGAAAGGAGCCTCGTTGGGAACTGTGGCCGGCAGGGGGCTAGCATGCCAGGGGCTAGCAGGCCGGGAAACAGGTTTGACCTCAAAGCTACCGAAAAAGTCCTCCACCCACTCGGGAAGTAACTCCTTTAACCAGGGCCTTGAGGTTACTTCTTGGCATGCCGTTGAGATAATTGACTGCCTCTCTTCACTACTGGAGGCATATCGACAGTCGTTTTTAAAGCACATTAGGTTGTACGTCACCTCGTACAGGCTGTCTGCTGGGTCCATCTTTTGGTTGGTTGGTTCTGTTACGGTGAGTGAAGCAGGCAGGACCCAAATGCAGAAAAAACTGAAAATACCTTTATTTCAAGGATATGGCACACGGAAAATCAGAACACTCCCCGGTGAACACAGTCACAGACAAACGACGAACCAACACTGAACACAGGAAGAGACAAGACCAAATACAGGGAGGGGTAATCACAAGACGAGAAACAGCCGGGCAGGGAGGAGAAACACAAGGGCCGCAGGTGAACACAATCAGACAACTAGACACACCAGGGAAACTAACGACAGGAGGAAAAACACAGGGAAAAGGACCAGACAATATACACGGAGGAAAACACGACAGGGAGAACAGCAAAACACCCAAAACAAGACATACAAAACATGACATAACACAATAATCGTAACAGTTATGCATACAGTAATGTATTATATTCTGGTGCAGGGGATACAACAAAGCAGTCAAACAAACACATACAATTTTAAAAGCAAAGTTTATTGCATATAAAGTCAAATATAAGCTAACAAAAGAACAGAAGCAGTGGCTGATAATGCAGCAGAAACTGACTGGATGAGAGAGAGAACGCTGATGAAGCTTCACAGTTTTTAAAGTTCAGCCACAAAGCGGTACAACATATCACGGGAAGTTTTGTCGAACTTTTAAAAAACAACAACATAGTATGTCAAAAATATCAGAAAAAACGACATTGTAATGTATGTTAAAAATGTACAAAAAGACGACATATGTTGAAAAATATGGGGGGAAAAACGACATAGTAAAGTATCTTGACATTTTCAGAAAAAAAGACATGCATAGTTTTTAAAAGTTCAGCCACCAAGCGTTACAACATATCAAGGGTTACCTGCAAGACACGGCAAACAGGACAGCAGGGTGTGCATGTTGTGTCTATTATCCTTTTGATCTTCAAGTCCCTTTCTGGAGGTCTGCTTAGTGTCCTTATTATTTAAAATGCATTAATGCTCTTTCAAGTCTTTCATCTTTCTTCCCTGCATCACCAGTCTCCCATTCTGATGAATGCCATATTTGGTGGTGCAGCCAATCAGATCTCAAATGGGATGTCCTAGCCTGTCGTTGCCTGGCAACTGGGACTGCTGCTACATAATTCAATCCACAGGAGGCGTGTGGCGCAGTGGCTAGAGCCTTGGTGTTGGGATAAGGGGAGCACAGGTTCAAACCCCACTGCAGTCAGCATGTGGTTGTGTCCCTGGGCAAGACACTTCACCCCAAATTGCTCCTGTGGGGATTGTCCACAGTATTGAGTATGTTAAGTCACTTTGGATAAAAGCGTCTAACAAGTAACATGTAATGTAATGTTGGAAAGATCCTGCAGGGGTTTATATAGCAAGAGGCAAATTACCCAGGATGGACTCCATTTCCCACACTGCTGAGCAGGAACGTGATACGGTAGATAGAAAGACAGAAATGTAGACCACATGGAATACAATGCAACATAATATGAACAACCCTCTTCACAAGCGATGTATATTGCATTGTATGAGAAAACAGTTTTGCTTCTATGCTTAAAAATATCACCTCCACCTCTCTATTAAGAGAACTGAAGCATTACAAGCATCATGACACAGCGCTGTTCTGACACAGCAGCATGTTTTGTCCAATAGGGAGCATCAACCAGTTGTCACATACATTACATCACATGCTCTGCTGCTGCTCCAGGGAATTAGACACGGGAAGAGTTAAAAAAAAAGGTGGGAGGATGCAAGTGGATGGAGTCAGCAGTGTATGTGTGATAGAGAGAGGGAAAAGACAAGCCCACAAGAGCTGAATGAGGATTACAATGCGTATGATGCTAGACTAGAGACAGGAGGTAATATTAACAGATTGTTCTGAATCTCTCTTCATCTTTTTTATTCTCCAATCATCTTCTTTCTTTGGAATATCATTTAGCTAAGTGCCTCTGCTGCTATAGCCAGGGTGATCTCATCTCTTGTGTGCACCAGGACTGAAGAGTGAGTAAGGACTTAGCTGGGAACTCCCTGCCAAAGAGAGGGAGAGAGAAGAGAGCTATCAGGGGACACACTAGGATTCAGTGTGGACCTGAGGGAGAGCCGAGGAGGTAAGATGAGTCAAAACAACGGGGACACACTGACAGCCCGTGGACCTGACTTGACCAGCATCAGCAACCGGGCCCCCTGGGAAGATGCTAGGATGAAGTTGAAGCCCTCCACCCCCACCAGGAAACCTAAACCTGTGAGTATCCTACAGCCTTCATCCATTTACAGCTGCAGTATCAGAGTTGTTGACAGCAAAGGCGACCCAAGTCAAATGTAAACTCTGGAGTTTAATTATTTTGTATCTTACTTGATAGTGAAAGCCTGCCAAGACACACTTGTGTTCAGGACTTGAGGCTGCTTATTTCACGGGGGTCATGATCTGACCTGTCATCTTTATCAAAGGTAGCCCTGTTAACAAAACAAGGGTTACTATCATGATTACTAGCAAGTGCAGCATTGAAATCCTCAGTAAGAAAGAAAGTTAGGTTGAGATATCATTAGGTGAAGCAGGAGATAGAAACTCAGAAAGGCTTTATTGTTAGAAACTGAGCAAAGCACAGAGGGCTCTTGTTTGATATCAGGTGCAAGGTTGTCTGTGAAGGCTATCGTTTGGATTTCTTACCTGGAAAGGATGCAGCAAAACACAAAAAAAGACAACAACAACTACTACTTCAGGCACTTACAGAATGTAGGGAGTTGTCTCAGTTGTAAGTTAAAAAAATGTGATATAAAATATTTGTTAAATATTCTTTAAGCAGTGGAAGTACGTTTTCAACCCCAGGTTTCAGGTTAAAATATCGTCATGGTATTATCTGGTCTACTGACATTACAGTAATATAATTTACAAAAGTATAACCAAACAACAGAACCTCAAAATGTGTTGTGGATATAATATCATGACCAAAAGTGTGAGCCCCATTATAAACAGTGTGCTATATTCTGTGTTGTTGTCCCAGTCTCATAATGCTTAACAGGCCGGCTCGGTATGTGGGCCTGCACTATCAGAGTCTTGCAAATGAAAGTATTTCTTATCACATTGTCACCTCCATTCTGTCACAACAACTCACTCAGTTTACCCACTGTTGGCATTAAATAAACCCTTTATTAAGTAGTTTCTTTCTACTTGGAGCTGTCAGCAAATCAGTAAACACTTTTCCAATATTCTAGTGCCACTGCTCACAATATTAATAATGCACTGCGTCCCTACAGGCAGAAATGTTCACCATAACCTTGTTTGATAACAACCAAAAGAAGGACAACTTGTTTATGAAGCAACATGTGTGTAGCAACAATTGTATTAAGGTGTTAGACGTGCTTGTACAGAGATATCGTTGCCTTTGGAGAAAAAGCCATGCGAGCTGTTTCTACACATTACAGTCTTTATGCTAAGTTTTGCTAAGCTAGCTGATGTGTCTCGCTTATTGAGGTATAAGTCTTTGCATCTGAAATAAGGCAACTGTGATTGTGAAGAAAACTAAAGCTGGATGTTATTGCAACTCTCTTTTACTCTAGCCAAAGCCGGAGAATGCCATTACCATTGGCGTGTCGGCACGAGTCCTCTTCAACATGGAGAAGGAGCAGCAGATCTACGAGCAGCAGGGCCTTGAAGACTACATCAAGTATCAGATGGAGCATGAAACGCAGCCTTTCAGCCCCGGCCCTGCCTTCTCCTTTGTCAAGGTCAGAGAATGAACGAAACACACACACACACACACACACACACACACACACACACACACACACACACACACACACACACACACACACACACACACACACACACACACACACACACACACACACACACACACACACACACACACACACACACACACACTTTTTTTGTATAGCTGAAATCTGTGTTTTGTCATGTTGCCAGGCTCTGGAGGCTGTGAACACTCAACTGAGGGAGCTTTACCCTGACAGCGAGGAGCTGTTTGATGTGGTGCTCATGACCAACAACCATGCATACGTCGGCCTAAGACTTATCAATACCATCAATCATCACCGTAAGTTACTAACATGAGTGATAAAGGCTTGTGACACACCCTTTTTGTCAGGGTTGGGGAAAAATAGGACCCACATGCAGATTGAGGAGGGAAGCAGGTTTCAAAATGAAACAAAAGGCGAGCTTTATTTACAAAAGCTGAAAAAACAAGAATCCATTAACAGGAACTGTAGCACGAGGTAGCATCCAAACAAAAGGTGACTGTGACCAACATGAAGGGAGGCATGAACTAAAACCGTGACATAAAACTAAGATCGTGATGACACTTTTGTCTTGTGTATATTCCCATCCAGCATCACTGGTTCATCTTCTGAGTGCAAGCCATCACTTTAGCCATCAGATTGTTGACACAGTTCAATTAGGTCTTCTTGTTCATTCTTGATGTAGCTTTAAATCAGTAGTGGAAGCTAGATCTGTAACCTAGAACTAGTGTTAGCATGCTGTATGTGTAACTGCAACTCCCAAATAAAAATATATTATGCATGCTTGGAATTACCACTCAACATAAAAACCTTTAAGTAAAAAGCTTTAGTTTTCATTGGGTAAATTACTGAAATAGCAAAAGATCAGATGTGCTGGCATTCACTAGCTGCTCTGCACAGCTGGTCCTCTTTATTCCCACAAACAGAGCGACCCATGACAATGTGAACCCAGGGTATAAGTGGTGGGAGTCGTGGAGCTGCAGTCCTTGCTCCTTGCAGGGGTTTGGCAGCCCCTCACCATACGCCCACTGAAGGAGTCAGGCCAAACGGAAACATCTCAGGCTCTTTCCTCAACACTGGGTTTTCGCTTCATGCTTTATAACCTAAAGCCACCCACCACCAGCGCTCAGTATTTAATGTTGAAAGTGATCTGCTATGAATGTAAAAATATGAGGTTATGCACCAATTCATTTAATTCTTGCATATTTGAATTTAAGGCACATCAACTTATCTTTGATTCCTCTTCTCCGCAGAGTTGTTCATCGAGCGCTTCTGTATGACGGGAGGGAACAGTCCCATAGGCTACTTGAAGGCCTACCACACTAACCTGTACCTGTCTTCTGATCCAGACAAGGTTCGAGAAGCTCTGGAAGAAGGTACATATAACTGAAAAGCTGGCTAGCACTGTCCACAGTTGTAAGCACTGTTAATATTCATAATGCTTTATAAAAGAATCAAAGCACGAGGGCTCAATGTACATTAGCAATTGGTCATTGTTACCTGTGCGCCATGACATCAAAGGGTTAAAAAACTGCGACCCAGTAAAGTGTGGAAGCAAACAAAAACAAAACGGTGCTATATAATCAGATATTTTGCATCATAAGTATGATTATATTGTATGCGCATCATAGAAAGTGTTCCAAGAAGCTATATGACTGCACTACAGAGGCCAAAGTGAGTGTCTCTGCTATATGGTATGTAACATGTATTTATACACACCTGTTTCTAATAACACGCTCAGGTATAGCAGCAGCTACCATGTTCACCCAAGAGAAGATAACGGAAGTGTCGGACACCCAGCTGCGAGTCGCCTTCGATGGTGACGCCGTCCTCTTCTCTGATGAGTCTGAGCGCATTTACAAGGCCCATGGACTGGACAAGTTCTTTGAGCACGAGAAGGCACACGAGAACAAGCCTCTAGACCATGTACAGTATACACAAAAGAGACAATCAGTATCACACCACTATTGTAAATGTACTGTAGTACATTAAATGAAAGGACTGGTTTACGACAACTTAGGTATTAGTGAGTACTTTTGACAGCCACTTCTATCATCTATGATAATAGTGTACAAATACAAGTCATTTCTAGGATTGGGAATCATAGTGACATCTCTGCAAAATCAAAAACTTAATTTGGTCTTTAAATTAGTTTTATAATTTTACCATTTGCCCTTTCACTGCTATTTGGCTCATCTGAGGGTTTGAGTGCTGAGTGCTGTTGTGATATCACTGTATACCAGGTCTCAGGAACTAACCTGGTAATTAGAACATACATGATGAACTACAGTAGGAAGTTATCATAGAGCTGCTGGTAAACTCTCTATAAAGAGAACAGTTTATTTCAAACTTTGGCACAGATTATACCAATTAAGCAGATTTTTATCTTGAGTTGGCCCTTAATAATGTAAAAACTAGCAAAAGGTCACTGGATTTACTCTATTCCTTCTTCTTTGTGCAGGGACCCCTGAAATGTTTCCTGGAGGCTTTAGGAAAGCTGCAGAAGAAGTTTTATGGCAAAGGTCAGCGCATGGACTGCCCCATCCGGACCTACTTGGTGACCGCTCGCAGCGCAGCCAGCTCTGGTACCAGGGCTCTGAAGACTCTGCGCTCGTGGGGTCTGGAGATCGATGAGGCTCTCTTTCTGGCAGGGGCACCCAAGGGCCCCATGCTTGAGAAGATCAGGCCGCACATTTTCTTTGATGACCAGATGTTTCATGTGGAGGGGGCAGCGGAAATCGGGACAGTAGCATGCCACGTGCCCTATGGGATATCTCAGGCAATGCCGAAGAAAGGAATCAATGATAAAGAGACTTCTTCAGCACCAAAGTAGCCTGAACATCACTGGGTTACAACTGTATATTTACCTGTTATTTTATCCATTGTTTTTTACATTTTCAGTTAATAAAAAGAGGTACAACTTTCTAACAAGAGCTCAACTAAACCCTTTATCATTTTAGATTATTCAGGGTGCAAAATTGTATGACTATATTGTAAAAAAGGGCTGCAGAGGATCTAGACCAAAATAAATTATAAAACCACATACATTATCCACTAATGATTTGTTAACATTTATTACTATTACTAAATAGAGTAGATATACACCATCAAGGGATCATTCACAACCTTGACACCTACATCTCTGCTTCTTACCCTGCCTCCCCGTTTTTTTTACTGCTTTTGGTTCCGCATTCCTGCCAAACCCTGACAGAACAAACTCATCAAGATGGACCCAGCAGTACTTTTTAGGATGACCTTTATGATTTATCTCACAAGCTTTTATGCATTCTTGTGGAGTGGAGGAGAGCACCTTATAAAGAGGCTCAGGAGGCCGCTCTTTCCCTTCCATGCCGGGAAGTGGCTGATAAGCCCTGGTTATGGAGCTCACTGCCAGGCTTTTGAAGGAACTTTGTGAATTCTTCCAATAGACTACACGCCTGCGTTAAACTCCTGTTACCCCTGTGCTCCGGATGCTGTGTCTCCAGAGGGGTCCCACAGGCCTCCTGCCCGTCCTACAGAGGGGTCCTGTTGTCCTCCAGAGGGGACCCGCCGCATTCCAAGGCGACCTCCAGAGTGGTCCCTTTAAAAAACACAACAAATCTTATCAAAATAAAGTATATTAAAAAAAAAGAAGCAGAACCAAATACCCCAAAAAAACACAGATTCAAAGCAAGATTTATTTAGACACCATAAAATGAACTGTTGGGGAAATATTTTCCTAGGCCCATAACTTTGACCTAGTCTACCAGTTTGTACTGCCCTCGCGGAGCACAGGCCTGCGACCTTGGGCTGCTGTGCTATCTGTGTCCCTGCCTGTTGGCGGCAGCTGATAGAGGTGTTATCGTTGTGTGCCTGATTTGTCTTGTCATGCAAAATGTAAATTATTCTCTCAGAACCAGCTAAATACATGGGACTGGGGGGGAGAGATCTTCAGAATTGGTTTGGACAAGAGCTGTATCACCTCATGGCTGCAGCAAATGTCTTTGTCAATCCTCCAGCCGTAACTTCAAATAAATAAATTTGCCATCAAGTTCCAGCTCTCCCATAATCTCATTGTGTTTCGACTCCACACTCCAGAAACCTCAGATTATTTTTGAAAAAGAGGGAGTCTGAATGCAGCCGAGATGTGATTTATGCAGAATCTCAATTTAGAAGTAAACAGTTTTGTCAATTCATTGCTTGTCTTTGTGTTTAAGAGTTTTGAAACTTGTGCCTTTTTTGTCAAAGTGGCATGTTGTTGATATCAGTCTGTTGTAAATGTGTTTTTTTTATCGATGTGTATGAATGTATTTTGAAAATGGCAAATTTGTGAAATTAACTATTTTACATAATATTTATTTAAAATGTATTCCTGTTCAATACATAATACACTCAGCGTTTATTGACATGCATCTTGTGCAATTTTTGTTTCTGCTACTTGACCCCAAAGTGCAGAAGGTTCAATGTCTCTCTTGTTGCCTGCCTGTCTGTCTCATTCTGTCATTCAGTAGTTGTATATTTTATAAAGTCCATGGTCACTCTTTGTATGAGTGTGAAGCAAGTTGGTATTGACTAAAAAATCTTGTTATGATGAGGAATCTTGGTAAATCAGGACCAAATGTGGACTGTTTAAGTACAAATGTATTAAAATGTTAGGAAAATATCACTATTTTCTTTACTCCCCCACCCCTAAAAAGGGCTCATTGGTTATGCAGAGGTGAACGTTTCAGACTCTTATTCAAGGATTTTAATAAAAAGCAAGAGCTAAAACAAAAAGATGGTGGACTTTCTTTCTGTGCACAGCAGGGGGAGACAGACACCACAGGCTGGTGTAACCTGTTCTCACATGAAGACCAGACAACTTCCCCCGAGATAAAAAAACTATTTCTGATTTTGATTCTAAAAAAGTGAAATTATGATAAATGTAATTTAGTTTAATATGTGAAGATTTAAAGTAATAGCCTACTTTATAGGCACATTATATTTGCATTTTTGTTTCTTAAATGTCATGATGACATCGTCACATGAGTGTTGTAGGCTACTGGGAAATGAAAACTTAAATATATCCAGCCTCACCAAACCGGCTCACAGGCGATAAACACTTTCATTTCAGCTCAGTTGATGTCTCACACCTGATCGCGATCATTCCCAAAGCCTGAAGATGGAAATAATTTGTGAGTACACATTACCCCAAGTGAAGGAGTTCAAGTATCTCGGGGTCTTGTTCTCGAGCGAGTCATGACCGAATGAACGAGATCGCGGATACAAGCGGCCGAGATGGGTTTTCTCCGCAGGGTGGCTGGTAGGGTTGCCAACTTCCAGAAATGGAGAAACGGGACACATGTATGTGTTGAAAAGTTTATTAACAGCTTGTATATTGGGTACAGTACAGTACAGCTCAAAACATACAATTGTTAAGGGGATGCAGACCAGAGAAAGACTTTCGTCTTGTTTACATCAGGGTCCCCCATTTCCAATTCATCATGTCATTTAAGACATATAAGACATATTTGACATACAGATGGCTTATTTACAATTTACATACAGGTGGTTTTTTTACATACAGATTGCTTATTTACAATTTTCATTTTAGATTTCGTTCTAATACATCCTAACCGGACATTTAAGACATACCAAGTCTACAGATATACAGTTAGTAACAGAGTCTAAAATGCGAGTATATACATAGATGGGGGGGGAAGCTGTCCATTGAACGACAGGTTGAGATTTGTACCATTACCGGGGCCAGTTTTGCAATGCTCTCCCCCGAAGGTGCTCTTTAAGAGAGGTTTTGAAGGTAAGTATAGTTTTACTTTCCTTTACAGTTGTGGGAAGAGCGTTCCACCTTGATGTGGCATAATTGCGAAACGTGTATTCCCCCTTTTTTGTGCCAAATCTGGGTTTCACATGATTTGTGGAGCTCCCTCTGGTGTTATGATCATGGTATTCCTTGACCTTTGGGAAGAATTTTGACATGTACATGGGTACCATAGAGGTGTAGTGGATCTTGTAGACCAGGCCCATTGCAAGTAGCTGTACTCTGTCGTCTACTCTAAGCCATCCTAGGTTGTCAAAGTGGGCAGAGGTGAGGTGGGTTCTAGATGAAAGGTCAAGCAGTAGTCTGACCAGTTTATTTTGCGATGTTTGAAGTTTTATTTTTAGCGCCTTGGAGGTGCTATGGTACCATGACGTGCAAGCATAGTCATAGTACCCTTGAATGAGTGCTCCTGCCAGAGTTTTCAGGGTGTTTTTGTTTACCAGAGAGGAGATCCGGTATAGGAATCTAGTTCTTTGATTGACTTTTTTTATTACATTGGATGCCATTTTGTCACAGGAGAGGTTTGTCTCAAGAATAGATCCTAGGTATGTAATTTCCTTCTTACTTGTGACAATAATGTCGCCCACTGCAACTGAGAAGTCGTCGGATTTGCTGAGATTATGTTTCGAACCGAAGAGAATGGACTCTGTTTTACCCAGGTGTAATGATAATTTATTATCGGCGAGCCAGGTGCAGATTCTGCCGAGCTCGGAGCTGAGGGTTTTTTCAACCTGCAACCTGTTCCTGTCAGAGACCAGCAGGGCTGAGTCGTCCGCGAACAGGAACAAGTTGCAGTCACATGCTGATGACATGTCATTTACATAAATTAGGAACAGTAACGGACCTAATATGCTTCCTTGTGGAACACCACAGCTCACTGGGAGGGGGGGGACAGAGTACCGTTTACCTCCACCATCTGTTCTCTCCCCTCCAGGTAGGATTGCATCCAGCTCACCGATAGTTTATCAAAACCAATTGCTTTTAGCTTGTCAATCAGAATGGGGTGATTGACAGTGTCGAAAGCCTTTTGTAGGTCCAGCATCACCATGCCGCAGTACTTGCCCTCGTCCACCTCTTGTTTGATGTGGTCGCTCAAATAAAGAAGGCATGTGTCAGTGGAGTGAGATGTTCTAAAGCCAGATTGAAATTCATAGATTAGTTTCTTTTCCGCGAGGTACTTTTCGACCTGTTCATATACTATTTTTTCCATGACTTTCGAGATGGAGGTAAGTATAGAAACAGGGCGGTAGTTGCCTGGGTCCAATTTGCTGCCCTTTTTGTGCAGGGGGGTTACTCTTGCAATTTTGAAGTCTTTGGGTACTTTTCCCTGTTTTATGGAGAGGTTAATTATGTGAGCTATGACTGGTGAGATGGCGGTTGCTGTGTCTCTGAGGAATTTGGAGGGGATATTGTCGTGGCCAGTGGCCTTGTTAGGTGGCCCTGCTGTTGTTACCCTGGCTAGACTGAAATCATCTTTGCGTACCCCTAGGTTTTTGTAGTAGGTCATGATGTGATCTACTCCAAAAAGCCCTGAGTGGGAGGGTAATTTATTTACAAGAGTTGTGGCTATGTTTGTGAAAAAAATGTTCAAGTACTTGGCCACATCCAGTTTGTCTGTGATGAGCCTGTTATCTGTCTTTATGTTTAAGTTCGAAAATCTCGTTTTGAGTTTTTTACTGCAGCCAAGCTGGTTATTGAGTAATTTCCAAAGTTCACAGGGTTTATTTTTGTTTTCCTCAGTTTTGACATTGATGAAATTCTTTTTGGCAGTTTTGATCATGGAGCTTACGTCATTTCTTAGTCTGTTTCTTTCAATTTTGAGTTCAGTCACGTGGGCCTGGAGTTCACTGCTCGTGCTTTTGGAAAGCATTGACTGACTTTTATGAAACTCAGAGCATTTTTTGTCTCTGGTTTTCATGGCGGTCAGTATGCCGGAGTGCATCCACGGCTCAGCGCGATTTTTTACCCTGGTTGTTCTTAGGGGGGCCAAATCATTGAGTATTACAGAGAATTTGTTTTTGAAACCAAGCCATGTTTCTTCAACTTGTGTACCACTGAGCTCATCTGACCAGTCCAGGCTCTCCAGTTCTAGGTTAAAGGCCTCGCTAGAGTAGTTTTTGAGGTCTCTAGATATGACTGTTTTGTGACAGCCGGCCCTTTGTTTTAGCTTTTTGCGGGTACAGAATATCATATAATGATCACTTAACCCGCATGCTATAACCCCTTTACTGGAGATCCTGGACTTGTCAGAGGTCAGAATGAGATCAATGGTAGTTTGTGTTGTTTCACATACCCGGGTGGGTTGGGTGATTAGCTGGCTGAAGCCGTGCAGATCACAAATCCTACTGAAGGACTTGAAGACGGACGTGTCTTTACGTTGCATATCCGTGTTCCAGTCTCCAATAATAATTGTCTCTACATCCCCCACATCAGCCAAACACCCATCTAATGTATCATAAAAGTCACTCTGTTCCGGTGGTCTATAGATTGTCCCGACTATTACAGATTTAGCATTGTCAAAAATAATTTCAACCCACACAGATTCAATATTTTCATGATGCAGGTCAGTTCGGTTTTTGAAATTGGTGTCTTTATGTATGTACATGCAGACACCACCTCCATTCACGTTCCTGTCCCTTCTCACTACAAGATAATCTTCAATTTCAATCTCTGAATCTGTAATGGAATTGTCCAATTTGGTCTCAGAAAAGCATAATATGCTTGCCTTACCGTTCATGAATAGCTGCCTGAGTTCAGCCAGTTTGTGTCTCAGGCTTATTATCGGCCGAAAATGGTTAAAAAGGCCCTTTCGGCTTTCGGCCGAAAGGGTTTTAGCACCGAAAAAATATCACCGAATGTCAGAACAGGCTTACGTTGGTAACCTAACGTGTTGTTGTGATGACGTAATAAAGACGCGGCGACCATGCTCGCGGCTGGCTCACAGGGGGGGGAACATTGACCTTTGTCATCGAGATTGCCCTGAGCCAGGGGCGTCGCCTGGGGTAGGCATCCGGGGCTTTAGCCCCCGATGTGTTTTCTTTAGCCCCGGACAAATTCTCCCTCAATAATATAATACATTAACCTACTTTACCTATAGGACGGACGGCAGAATTGTAATTTCCCATGTTCAGTGAATGCAACACAGAGGCAAGACGACGCCACCAGACCAATCAGAGAGTTGCATGGAAATACACGTGTTTTATTGGCTGACAGGTACGTACCTCTCCTCTGTGACAATGTTTAAACTTTAAACTGTCAGCCCCGGACGCGGAGATTCTGAAGATGGACATTAGACATTTCTTTAATAAAAAAGACGGCAATTCTCAAGTGGTGGCTCACACAACAACCCCAGAGCCACCACCTGAGCCAGGTGAACAAGGTATGTACCTGTCAGTAAACTTACAAGTTATGCGAACATGTAAGCAAAGCATAAATTATAGCTACGTTGACGTTACTTTGAATCGCGCGGATAAGCTAAACCGTTAGCAAGTAGCTATAGCTAGCCAGATATATTAAATAAACACTTTGTCATACAATCTAAATGTTGTGTTTTTTAGCGTTACTTGGTGATTTCAAAGAAAGCTCTCTGGGAAATGTTGACTTACTGTCTGTGTTCGACATGAAGCTAGAAGCTTACAGTACAGTTGATCCGGAGTCCTGTCAGTTAAAGTGTTTCATAGTTAGCTTAGCTAAGCATCAACCTAGCACTGAAATATATGGATGTTATGTGACAGTATTTCTGAGAAAAAGTCAGCTGAAATGGTGGCATGGTTGCCACTGCTTTACGTGTCGACAGCATGTTTGAACGTATTTGCAGCAGTAAATGTGGCTGTTTGGCCACTGACGTTGCCATAACAACACCTGAATTTAAATGTGCAACCTCTTTTTGTGACAGATTTTGCATGAAAATAGAATTCTTCTGATTGATATTTCCTATTGACAGCTAGTTTCTATGTGAACATTATGAGATGGACAGCCAGCTAACAAGCTTTTTATACAAATATTTCAGATCAAAGCCAATCCAGTGGGGCTCCTGAAAGGGGGCAAGGGACACTATGCTCCCAAATATTAAGCCTTGACCCCCATCTTAAAATTGATATGATCAAAAAATGATCTGCATTGTCGGAGGCCTTTTTTCCTCATTATCATGTCAAATTGTACAGCTTTCCTTAGTGTTGAATGCAGAAAGATGACTATATTAGAGTATTAAGTGAAAATGACTATATTAAAGTTTTAAGTAAATATATTAAGTGAATTACTCAAACTGCATTTGTATAGGAATGATTCTGTCCTATTGGCAGATAACTACTCTAACAGTGATATCTACAAGAGATGTCAATTTAACTATTTTCAATTGGTTAGTATTACATTTTGTGACAGTGTGGTGACACTCATTTTAATGAAGACAAATGTGTGTATCTTGAAATTCATTTATTTGACAGAGCTGGAAACTGATTGACTTACATACTTGTTTGTGTTTACCTACACAGTCATCACAGATGAGCCAAACAGAGTAGAGGATGAAGAAAAGGAGAATAGGAGAAAGGGACACACAAGAAGGAGATACAAAAGACAAGAACGACAATGGAGACAACAATGAACAGGAACACCAGAACAGACAAGAGTCAATGAGTAACATGACTGATTTAGGGACTGCAGATACAGGGCCAAGGCAAGTGAGACACCACTGCTTTCCATCCAGCATGTTTGGCCAGCAAAAGAGATCATTTCAACCGCAAACAGCAAGAGATGAGGGATTATTATTTCCTCCTTCCATCCCTTTTTTCTGTTTAATCTGATTACTAACAACTTCTAATAAATTGACATAGTTTATGATTTAATTGGAAAATGAAGTGTTTTTAAATAATAAACCCGTTTCTGATTCTGAGATTTATTTTTGACATATGGGTGTTGAGAGATGTATCCATATCTCTTGATGTTGCTCTCAAAGTGCACAAGATTGATGCTTTTAACTTCAGTATTTAAAAAAAGTCTTCCTGGGGGACCCCAGAGGAGGTGAGTTCCCCCCAAAATAGCACTTTGTCTCTGCTTATGTAACTCCGGTGTAGTGTCCCCTCGGCAACAGATCACTCAGAGCTGGTGATTACTTTCCTGCATTTCAATGAACAGCATATAAAAAGGACACGTGAGCTGCATTGCTTAAGAGATCCTCACATGCTATCTCTTTTACAAAATAAGTGTCCAGTCAACAACAAATTTCAGTGATCGTATAGTGGTAGTATATTTTTCACAAGCAATGTGAAACATTAAACTTATACAAACTGGTGTACAAAACTCACATACCTGCGTTGATCTCCTGGAGTGTCTCTACTCTTTCTTCTCCACATCTCTTGTCCACCATCAGAGATTGCAAACATTTCAGAAACAGCTAGAGGTAGGGGACAAACAACTTGTTCGCTGGGCATGTCAAAAACCTCCCTGCTTTGATCAAGACTTTAGGGAGCCTTTAGCCCCTCTAGCAAAGGGACTGGAAAGCAAGCTTTGAAAATGCAGTACCATCTACATGCTGTCATGTTCCAGACACTGCTCTCAACCACTCAGGGCCTGCACACATACCTGCAGAAAGAAACACTTGACTTGGTGCAGGCAGTAGATTACAAAACAGCAGTTGAGAATACACTGAAAAGTTACCAAAGTAACGAGAAAGCACATGAGGTCTATGACAAGACCAAGGCCCTGTGCAATGATCTTGATATTCCCGAAACTGTGACACAGAGGAAGAAGCGTAGAAACATGGAAGACTTTGTAGTCGAGTTATCATGTGGAGCAATGTGAAATATTAAACATAAATAAACTGGTGTACAAAACTCACATACCTGCATTTCAATGGACAGCATCAAAGGACTCGTGAGCTGGGTTCTGATGCTCAGATTAGCTATTGATGATCACGTTGATAAATCATATAAAACAAATAGCCAATCACACTAAAAACATGTTGCTGTGACTGTGAGCATTAAACAATTAACATTAAACTAAACAAACACAACAGTACGTTATTGTCCTTATAAAATAAAAACATACATTTTGTCCACCGAGATAATACAGGCACCTTACCCTCAAGAGATCCTCACGTGCTATGAGAGTCTCCCACACTCCATTGCCGTAACAAAGCTTTTTGTTTGTGACACCAGATGGCGCAATTGTGTATGTGCGTGTGGGGAGTCTTGCAGTAGAAAATTTGACTGTAGCGCCGCCACTGTGGGCTAAGCCCCGAATGTTTCCAGGTCCAGGCGACGCCCCTGCCCTGAGCCTTTAACAAATCGTATTAAATAATCTGATGACAGACTGTAAACAGAATAGCTGACATTTTAACAAACTAAATAACTCAGTTACCTCTAATCATTAACCCATGTTTGTATAATGTAGTTAACTCCGTGTGTTGCTGCTAGCATACATAACACCTGACGTGGAAACGTTACTCGTGGACGGGGCTACAGAGCTGCTAGAAAGACGGTCGAACCCGGTGCATTCCTCCGTCTGCATGCGGTGCACTTTTGCTAAATGTTTAGACAAATTGCTCGTGCTTACATGCTAAACTCTTATTGCACTTATGGTAACAAGTATTCTCCACATCGATACGGGTAAAGTTGAACCACACCTCGGAGCGCGTTCTCTCCGCCATCTCCGCAGTGTGCTCCGCTGCATGTAGCAGCTGCGTGTGTGTAAACTGCCCCGCCCCCTCGCACACAGACGGGGGAGAGAGATCTCGTCTGATCGAAAAATACATCATATACGCATTTGTTGTCTTTGCATATTAGAAACGAGTTGGCGACACTAAGACTGCGATATAATGTTTTTTAGCAATAATACATGACATATATAAATGTACTGTATGCATTCAAAAGTGCTGAATAAATGTTTTATGCACCCATAATAGTGATTATTATTTAAGTTAAGTTTTGCCATAATCATGTCTATTTCCATAATCAGGTAGCTGAACAACATTGGTAAAAAATGTATACATTATATATATATATTTCTATTAATCATTTTCGGCATTCGGTTTTCGGCCAACTGTTTCCTATTTTCGGTATCGGTTTCGGCCAAGAATTTCCCATTCGGTGCACCCCTAGTTGTAACTCAAACCATGCTTAACTGTGTGATACACTGATGTTACCTCACATGCAGCAACTTTGTCTTGTTCTGCAGTTGAACTGCCGAAGAATTTAGTTATATTTGATGCACCTTTATTTTGTGTTGCTCGCTTGTGCATTTCTGGGCCAGCATGCTGTTTCAGGTCGTTTTCTCCACCGTGACCTATTGAAAACTCCCTCCGACCAGGGGCGGACTGGGACTCAAATTCAGCCCTGGAATATGACCCAGTCCGGCCACATGTCATGTCAACGGGGGGGGGGGGGGGGGGGGGGGGGGGGGGGGGGGGGGGGTCGGTGGTGTAGATCAGAGATCAGATAAAATAATACAGTACTATTAGTTATTATAAATCAGCTGTTTATTATGCGGTTCAACGGATAATTCTCCCCTAAAGAGAATAGGGAGGACACTCCTCAGATGTCTTAACACATGGGACATCATATAACAGTACACACACACAAATCAGCTGTTTATTAGGCTGCAGTTTAAGGGATAATTCTCACCTAAAAGAAATAAACAAGATTGTCTGAGGCGGTTTGTAAACCTAATGTTGGGGAATCAGCAGTTTCTTTAGTAAGTTGCTTTTTTCTGCAACTCTGTCGATGACCAAGTCATTGTCGAGGGACATGAGGATGTCTTTTTCTGTTGACATAAGCATGAATGCTTCCAGGTGTTCTTGTGACTGTGTGCTCCTTATTCGGCTTTTGATGTGCTTGAGTACAGAGAAACTTCTCTCACAAGCTACCTGTGTCACAGGCAGAGTGAGAAGAAACTTGTATCCTAAACCAAGGAGCTGATAGGCATCTGTGAAGAGGTTGTAGCGTTTCAGAAGTTGGTAGCAACATATTGAGCATTCTTTACAAGAGTTGCACTGTTTGTTTAAAACCTCTGTCTCTTCTTCCTCACAACCAGAGCAAATTCGTACTCTGTACTCTTCAAGTGCAGACATGTTAAGCCGTGGCCACTGGGCTGCCAGACACTTCAACTCAGACTGCAAATTTGCAGCAGTTGCCCTGCTGTCAAACCTAAGCAAGCATTTGCTTAGATCTTGAAATGTAGAGTCAGGCAGAGCTTCTGCTGAACACACTTGGGGAAAGTTTCTTGGATCAAGGACAGCCAAGTCAGCATACAGAGTGCCGTGGGTCATGAAGCGTTGTTTGATACTGTCTGTGACAGTATCCAGGACCTGGTTATGGACCTCTACTTCATAAGCCCTGTTTGCATCTGTCAATCTCTCATCACTTGCCATTTCGCCAGCCATCATCT